ATCTTGGGGACGGAGTAGGATCTGGGTGACGTAGTGGGGTTTAGGTGACGTAGTAGGGTCTTGGTGACGTAGTAGGATCTGGGTGACGTAGTAGGGTCCGGTTGACGTAGTAGAGTCCGGGTGACGTAGTAGGGTTTAGGTGACGTAGTTTAGTTGGAAGGTGTGTGTGTCTGTAAATATGTATAATATCAATTGTGTAAAGTTGTAGAATTTCTGACTAAAGATACATCGAAGGACAATATAATTACATGTCATTATTAGTAATCAGAATGTGACAATAAGTGACAGTTGTACATCTTCAGGAGACCTCCGATCTACAAGAGACTACAGATGTAACTTCTGGTTGATATAAATAATACATTTGTGTCACACTGTAATGTGCGGTGCCAATATGCTGTGTTCAAATAAATGAAGCCGAACTAGAAGATTGTTGTTTCCATTCTTTATTATTACATTGCATCAGGAGGTAAATCGCTGTTATTTATGCCGATTCTCCATCTCACATCATGCTGCTTCTAGAAATGAAGACAAACAATCCCAAATAACAGTACATTTAGTTTACATAAATCTGACCTCCGTCCTTCCCTTCAGTCTTCTATCTGACCTCGGTCCTTCCCTTCAGTCTTCTATCTGACCTCCGTCCTCCCCTTCAGTCTTCTATCTGACCTCCGGCCTTCCCTTCAGTCTTCTATCTGACCTCTGTCCTTCCCTTCAGTCTTCTATCTGACCTCTGTCCTTCCCTTCAGTCTTCTATCTGACCTCTGTCCTTCCCTTCAGTCTTCTATCTGACCTCTGTCCTTCCCTTCAGTCTTCTATCTGACCTCTGTCCTTCCCTTCAGTCTTCTATCTGACCTCTGTCCTTCCCTTCAGTCTTCTATCTGACCTCTGTCCTTCCCTTCAGTCTTCTATCTGACCTCTGTCCTTCCCTTCAGTCTTCTATCTGACCTCTGTCCTTCCCTTCAGTCTTCTATCTGACCTCTGTCCTTCCCTTCAGTCTTCTATCTGACCTCTGTCCTTCCCTTCAGTCTTCTATCTGACCTCTGTCCTTCCCTTCAGTCTTCTATCTGACCTCTGTCCTTCCCTTCAGTCTTCTATCTGACCTCTGTCCTTCCCTTCAGTCTTCTATCTGACCTCTGTCCTTCCCTTCAGTCTTCTATCTGACCTCTGTCCTTCCCTTCAGTCTTCTATCTGACCTCTGTCCTTCCCTTCAGTCTTCTATCTGACCTCTGTCCTTCCCTTCAGTCTTCTATCTGACCTCTGTCCTTCCCTTCAGTCTTCTATCTGACCTCTGTCCTTCCCTTCAGTCTTCTATCTGACCTCTGTCCTTCCCTTCAGTCTTCTATCTGACCTCTGTCCTTCCCTTCAGTCTTCTATCTGACCTCTGTCCTTCCCTTCAGTCTTCTATCTGACCTCTGTCCTTCCCTTCAGTCTTCTATCTGACCTCTGTCCTTCCCTTCAGTCTTCTATCTGACCTCTGTCCTTCCCTTCAGTCTTCTATCTGACCTCTGTCCTTCCCTTCAGTCTTCTATCTGACCTCTGTCCTTCCCTTCAGTCTTCTATCTGACCTCTGTCCTTCCCTTCAGTCTTCTATCTGACCTCTGTCCTTCCCTTCAGTCTTCTATCTGACCTCTGTCCTTCCCTTCAGTCTTCTATCTGACCTCTGTCCTTCCCTTCAGTCTTCTATCTGACCTCTGTCCTTCCCTTCAGTCTTCTATCTGACCTCTGTCCTTCCCTTCAGTCTTCTATCTGACCTCTGTCCTTCCCTTCAGTCTTCTATCTGACCTCTGTCCTTCCCTTCAGTCTTCTATCTGACCTCTGTCCTTCCCTTCAGTCTTCTATCTGACCTCTGTCCTTCCCTTCAGTCTTCTATCTGACCTCTGTCCTTCCCTTCAGTCTTCTATCTGACCTCTGTCCTTCCCTTCAGTCTTCTATCTGACCTCTGTCCTTCCCTTCAGTCTTCTATCTGACCTCTGTCCTTCCCTTCAGTCTTCTATCTGACCTCTGTCCTTCCCTTCAGTCTTCTATCTGACCTCTGTCCTTCCCTTCAGTCTTCTATCTGACCTCTGTCCTTCCCTTCAGTCTTCTATCTGACCTCTGTCCTTCCCTTCAGTCTTCTATCTGACCTCTGTCCTTCCCTTCAGTCTTCTATCTGACCTCTGTCCTTCCCTTCAGTCTTCTATCTGACCTCTGTCCTTCCCTTCAGTCTTCTATCTGACCTCTGTCCTTCCCTTCAGTCTTCTATCTGACCTCTGTCCTTCCCTTCAGTCTTCTATCTGACCTCTGTCCTTCCCTTCAGTCTTCTATCTGACCTCTGTCCTTCCCTTCAGTCTTCTATCTGACCTCCGTCCTCCCCTTCAGTCTTGCACAGTTGTAGCGGCTCCTCTCCTGGACTGAAATGGCTTCCTCTGATTTCACTGTAACACTGTGAGCTTCTCATAATGTGCATTAGAAGCTGGAGGCTTAGGGGTGCACCAACACCATTTTTCAGACCGAGTACCGATTCTTTTCCTCAAGTACTCGCCGATACCAAGTACCAATTTTTTTGTGTCGTGTGACAGTTTATCTAAAACAATACAGACTAATGATTTTGGGACATTTGGTGACATGCCAGGGCCCTGTCACAGCTGCAACTTTGGTAGTTCTACCACTGATGCCAAGCTGTAGAGGGACTACAAATCCCAGCATTACATTATACAACCATGCAAAATACCACCAGCTATAATATGAAGCTACATACTCTGTGTTGCTTCGGGGGTGGTGGCCTGATGTCCCCAGGGTCTCATGAGAGCTGGGTGGGCTGTACAGGGTCTCCCGGGTGGTGGAAGTGCTGTATACAGCGTGCCAAGGTTCCCCGGGAAGATGTGCGGCCGGCTCTGTAAACATTCACTGCACTTCACAGGAAGTCTGCCGAGGTCCCCAGCAAGCGCAGCACTTCAGGCGACAGCTTCAGCTTAACAATTTAAAGCAATGGTATCGGGAAAGATGCCCAGTATCGGCACTGGTATCGGTATCGGTGCATCTCTAATGGAGGTTTAGGATTATATGTAGGTGTTCTCTGGAGTGGTCTGTAGGTAAATGAAGAGCTGATAAAGCTGAGAGCATCCTGCAGTACACATTTCTGGCCACAAGATGCCGCCGTTGTACAGAAAGCCAGCGCAGTGGCTGCCCTGGCACTTGTTGCTATGGTGACCACCTGTTGCCTTGGAAGAGACGCGGCCCGGATTCTGCGGGTTCCTTCCTCCGTTCTGGGGATCCGTGTGCTGCAGAGGTCAGGTACAGATGACAAGCTTGAAGCTATAGACAATACTGGCTGTGCAGCTGACACAATTACAGTGTATATGGCTTTTCTATTTGCTTTTATTTACCTTTTGTTGCAGACAGATATCGGTGCTTACAGTGGACGCCGTTTCGGCATTGTCTGCAAGTTTTGGGCAGGAGTATATAGCGTCAGCCATTTTCTTGGAGACCATTTGCTTATGTGTCTGAGGGGAATAACTCCGGCAAAATGTCTCCTTACTGGCGACATCAATCTAGAGGTTCTAAGTGGGTTATACTTGATCTATGTTTGTTTGTTAGAGGACTGGGGGTGCTCATACAGGTTAAATGGCTTTATTTATTCTTTATTTAACAGGGATGGAGGAGTTCTTTAAGTCTTAAAGGACCCCTGCTAAAATATATTTAGCTTATTAAACATGTGTGATTAGTAAGCTGTAAGAATAAGAAAAATACACATAGTCAACACTGTCGATAAGCTGATGAAGGAATACGCTTCCCTGAAATACGTTCCTAGCAACAACACTGTTCACGGGCCGATGAAAGGGATGAGCATCCCCAAAACACGTTAATTTGTGAGTGCATTGATTTTAACTTTTATTCCCCCACAATAAAGAAGTGCTACACTATCCTGGTGCACTCTTTATTTTTTTTTTAGTGTTTTCCCAAAAATTGTAGTGCACCCCTTACATTGATGGTCAATGGAGAAGGCCCCCCTCACATTTGTAGTCAGTGGAGAAGGCCCCCTCCCCCCACATTGGTGTTCTGTGAAGTGCCCCTTCACATTGGTAGTCAGTGGTGAAAGGACCCCCCTCACATTTGTGGTCAGGGAAGAGCCTGTTCACAATTGTGGACAGTGGCAAAGGGCTCCCTTGCATTGGTGGTCAGTGTCCCCGTATGTTGGTGGTCACTGAAGACATGACCCCTTACATTGATGGACACTGTAAAAGTGACACCTTACATTGGTGGTCAGTGTAGAAGTGACCCTATACGTTGGTGGTCAGTGAAGACATAAACCCTTACAGTGGTGGTTAGTGAAAGAAGGGCCCTCTTACATTGGGGGTCAGTGGAAAAATGGCCCCCATACATTAGTGGTCAGTGGAACAAAAAGCTAAAAAGATCATTGCAACCAGTGGCTACTTACCTAATAGACAAGAGCACAGACTCCACTAGTCCCACACTGCTGGCTTTGCTGAGTGGTCAGTCCTGGAACGTTATAGTCATTGTCAAGTTGGAGGTCTGCCACTGCTCAATGAATCCCTGAGGAACCTCTGGGGGAACCCCAGCTGGAAAAGGCTTCTGAAGCTCTCTACAATCACTTTTTGGTTTTTTTAAGGTAATCTAAGATCACCTTTTCAGACACCTTTACTGACAATAGTCACCAGGGTGAATAAAGAGGGTGAATCCACCCAAGTGAGGACAAGTGTCTGTGAAGGTTCTTATGCAGGGACACCTGACAAGGTTCTCCCCCTTCCACACTCTTTCAAAAACTCAAAAAATAAATTTTGATACAAAGTAAAATGTGTGATTTTAGCACCACTGCAGTGTTAGCTGGTTTCATGCGTTGTCTGGAATGGCTCTTTAACCCATAGATTGTTTCACTTTCTGCTGTCCTCTGAACCTCTGAGATATTATTTAGTGTAATTAGCACAGGTTCAGCGGACGTGATCCGAGATGTTCTCTTCAGTTGTTGCCAGGTAATTGGATGACTGTTTTTCAGGCTTGTCGTCAACACGGAAACCACTTTTACAACAGTCATGGAGACTCTTGAACCTTTGAAGGACCTGAGAGCCAGCTCTGAGGCCCTGGAGTTTTTATCCAGAATAGGTGAGTCTTCCCTGTATGGGACAGCAGGACATAGTAGAGTTTTTATCAGACCAATCAAGCGCCACTCCACAGATAAAAGTCCAGAGTGATATTTTACTTAAAGGAGAACTATGAGGTGAGTGCTTTTCACTCACCTCGTAGTTCTAGCTGACCTGTGACAATGAGACTGTCACAGATCGGCTCAGTAGATCGGGAAGTGAGCGAACATATACCGGCGTTCGCTCACCTCTCGATCCTATCACGGCTCTCTGCCGTGACGGGAGGGGCTGGATTCCCCCCTCGCCGCTCCGATCTGCCAGCGCTCACTGGCGGAGGGGGCGGTACAGCTGGCTCTGCCTCTGTCACTCACGCAGCTGGGCGGATCTCGACATCGATGTCGGGATCCGCTCCGGCGTCTCAGTATACCGCGAGCTGTAGCTCGCGGTATACTGAGTTTAGGGTAACGGGAGGACGCTAGTTTGTGTCCACCCGTTACCCTAAGCAGAACTATGGGGATAAGCCCTGACCCCAGAGTTCTCCTTTAAATCACCAAGGAGAAGCCAACGTGTTTTGGAAGTTATGGGAACATCGAATAGAAAGTCACCCGCACACCAAGTCAATCTCTTTATTGACTATAGTGGTGTCACAAATCAAAGCAACGTTTCGGAACCAAGAAAATGTTCTGTTTGCCTGAAGAAGGGACCACTTGGTTCTGAAACGTCACACTTTTTGCATGATTTCACAGAGGTATCTGCTGTCACTACAGCACCCACCCCACCTTGGGGTTTTATTCCGGTCAGGAGTGCGATGGGACACATTTTTTTTTGGAACTTATGGGAGCCCCTCTTCTTCAGGGCTATAAACCTATACAACCATGAATATATATTTGATATATTTATTGTCCTGAAGAAGGGGGTCTCCCATTTAGCCAAAGGAAGCTCTTTCCCCAGAGGTCTACAATGGGATTACTGGACAGGAAATCAAATATAAATAAATGTCTCCCTCTAGGACCTGATCTTTATTTACAGAATACTTGAAAAGCTCTTAAGCACCTGTCAAGCTCACATGACAGGTTCTCTTGAAGCCCTGTACCCTACCGATACACACCTTTGCCATACACTCGAGGCACTGCAGTTATCTGTTGGAGACTTTGGAAATACCCGGGACTTCCAGGTATGAGGAACATGTGACATTCTCCCCCTTATCCCAGGATGCAGTGCGAGGGCCTGAGCAGCCAACTGCTGGACCAAAACACTGTCACGACTGGGAAGCAGGTCGGTAATAGGGATGAGTTTGGGTTCACTCCAAGTTGAGCTTGTCTAGACCTAGAAGAAATCTGTCAATGCTGTCAGCTGCAGTCAGGGCCGGTAAACACAGGGGTGGGACACTGGGGACATCATTCACCTTATATGGCCACATGGCCATGTTTGGTCAATGACATTAACCTAATATGGCCATGTGGCCAGATATGATCAATGGTGCCACCAGCATTCTACTCCTTTGTTTAGCTGCAGGGCAAGGAATGCCCTTCCGCAGCTGATTGGGCCAGCACTGACTACTTCCTTCCAGGTTTCTGACAAACATGGGTTTGGGCAAAGTCCATCCTTGGTCATTAACCCTGTGTAAGCTCTGACACTGATCGACATGGAGCTTACACAGGGATTTGACCCAGTGGTCCAACAGAGGAACAGAGTGGTGGGGGACAGCAGTGAAGGTGTCAGTGGGGGGTGAGATTTCAAGAGCACCTGTCACCGTGCCCATTCCCTTTCAAATCTTAGTATTTGCTCTATTTATAGCAATGCTATAGTGTAACTTTTCTGAGCATCTCTGGCCATTATTTCTCTCCAGGGCCCAGTGAACTGGATCTTTGTCTCTTTCCGGAGTCTTTACAGACAGCGTCAGATTCGGGGACAGAGGTCGGAGATTTCACCGTCAGCATCCAACCTGCCTACTATGAACAGGAAGGAGAAGAGGAGGAAAAATGTTTTCTGGTTCACGCCAACAGTTACGGCACCATTGATGGCGTGCCGTGTGGAACCTCCATAGTCGGTCAGTATGTGTCTATCTCTAGCTGCGAGTCTTGCCGAGGTGCCATGTATAATGCTGACCTAGAAATGTATTCCGCTGCCACTAGGTGTCAGAATGGATTTGTTTACCCCTTAGAGGAGACCCAAATAAGCTTCACTATGTGTCCCTGATAAACCAAAGTGTACAAGGTAAATGTATTTTTTAAGTAGATCTGTACTGTCTGCACTCTTTAAATAAATGTGAAAAGCAGAGTAACCCAACTCGTCACTGCTTGTCCTTCCCATGGATGAGCAGTGTTTACATTCTCCACTCCACTTTCCTCTGAAGTTTGCTCCAGTGCCAGGCCCAGCAGTAGAGCATAACAGTTATCTCAGGTACATATGCTGAGATAGAGACAGTTGTCATTCTCCATGGCAGATCCAGAACAGTTTCAGAGGACTTAGCGTTGCTAGAACACAGAGTTTCTTAGTGATTAACATTATGGGATTTTATCGCTATCGTTTCGGTCTCCGGATACTCACATAGGACACTTTCACAGCTGGACTCATAAATTGTTTTGCATTATGGAAAATCCAATAGAGGAGAGTCACACCGTCATTTACTTGTGAAGGCTCTTTCTGGTGAGGATGTGAGTGTAGCAGGGTACAGTCCTCACCTGTTAGGCTTCTGCTTAGGAACATAGAAGCCGTAGAGAGGTCCAGTCTTTGCCTGCCATGCCCCTTGCCTGTAGGAGGGAGCCAGAGCCAAGAAAGGATGTTTGTTCTCCCAGCTACCCGTCTGGGCCTGTAGTGTTCTAAATTGGCCCATGTCAGAGGCCTGAAGATTTCCAATCTGGCCTATGGTAGTGGCCAAAGAAATTTAAAGTGGAATTTCAGGAATTGTAAAAATGAATCCCTGCAGTGGGGATATCCCCGCACTGCAAGGGTTAACTGCTCGTTTTTTCTCTAGAGGCCGCAATAAAGATGATATACTTACCTGATCCTGTGGCCGTCACCGCTCACCTCTCTACCCCTCTGCTCTGGCTGTGGAGTATCCCTTGGCAAGTGCATTGGGCATAATAAAGTCAGTGGTCCCTAAACTGCCAGAGCCCAGGGGAGAAGAGGCTGCGGGACCGGTCAAGACTGGACTGAGAATCAGGTGAGTATATCTTCTTTATTTTAGCCCCTAGTCCAAGAAGAGCAGTTAACCCTTGCAATGCATGGGCAGCCCCGCTGCAATGGTTAATTCTTACCTGTGGGTCCACTTCAAAGGTAGCCATCCATCCAGCCGGGCCTACAAAATCTACAGTAGCCTGTGGCAGAGTCATAAAGAGCTCTTCAAGAGACTTGTGGCAGAGGTCAAAAGATACTGGACGATAGTAGCCCTCATTAAGAAGTCTACTGAGTGGAGGGAATTTTTGCTGCTGCTTTGGGATTATCCTGTACCCCCAACTCTCTCTCTCCAAGATCATTTAGCTAGTAAACTGCAAGAAAAGGATTGAAGGATGCTGAAAATTGTCTGTTGCCGTTGGTGGGTTGGTGAGTGTCTGGGTGCAGCTGCAGGGCAGGTCACCATAAGGCCCCATTCACACTAAGCGACATACCTTTTGCAGCGGATCCGCATGGCCAGGATAGTACGACTTTCGGGGCGACGATCCAGCGACGGTAGCGCAACCTTCACCGTCGGGCTCCATTAAAACATAGAAAAATCGCACAAAATCCGCCGAAAAAAGGGTCCTGCTGGAGCGAACGGCGACATGGAGCTAAGACAGCTCCATTGATAAGCATTGGCCGGCGACTTCTCGCGATATCGCGTGGCAAAAATGTGCGATATCGAGGCGGAAATCGCGCAATAAATCGCTTAGTGTGAATGGGGCCTTAGGAAAGTCTATGAGAGGCTGCAAGTATCCAGCAACTCCTTCCAGGGTCACTGCTACTTACATTACATCAATGAAATGTACAGCTTACATGCTGTAGTGTGAAAGTTCCTCTCCTTACCATATGTATGCTGCTTGAGAATTTTTGGTTGACTGGTTTTGGTTGTTTCTGTTACAGCTTATATTACACCCAAGCTGGAAACCTTAGAACAGCACCTTCATGAGTACGTCAAGGTAAGGCCTGTTTCTTCTAATGACGGCATTTTCGGCCCCTTCACACTTTTTCCAGCATGCTGTGTGTGCCTTGGATTATGCGTTACTACAATGCATAGGCGTGAAACCAGGCTTAAACTAATCCCAGAACAAAAATGTGACATACGCCAGATTTCCAGTCCTTAGGTTTGGTGGCTGCATTCGTTTTCTAAAAAAAAGCCTGAAAAAAAGAAAACGTATGCAGCCACCACACCTAAGGACCGAAAGCCAATATACCGTGTTTCCTCGAAAATAAGACACTCTTATATTTTTTTGGGCTCAAGAAAACACACTAGGTCTTATTTTCGGGGTAGGTCTTATTTTCGGGTAGGTCTTATTTGTTTTCAATGTGCAACAATCCACACTTATTCATGTACAAAAATATACTGTACATTTATTCAAATACAGTCATGTCATCTTCTTCTGGAACATAGTCATAACTCTCCAAATCCTGAATCCTGGCCTGATGCCGTACCTTTCCAAGAGCAATTTGCTAACCAATCGCTGGCCAGAATGAGCGAAGCGCGCTTTCACTATGGATTCCTCACAGGCGGAGTGCATTTGGTATCACTCCGCCTGTGACAGGAGACGGCGCTATAGAGGAAGTATCGGCTTATGCGGCTCTGCTCCCTTCGGTGCCGCCCCGCTTCCTCTAGCGCTGGCTTCATTGGCACCTCTGATTCTCTCCCACGGCTCTTCAAGTTCCCCCTTATGCTACCACTGACCCTGGGAATGGTCACAACTAGGTCTTATTTTCGGGGTATGTCTTATATTTTAGAAATTCCCAAAACATAGTACTAGGTCTTATTTTCGGGGGAAACAGGGTATTATATTTTTACTTTTTTATTTAAATACAGTTTAATGTTCTGAATTGATGATGAACTAATGCTTGCCAATCATATTGCAGCTTTTTATAATAAATAACCCCATCCCTTCTATCCAACATTGCTATTTGATGAGCCTGTGTAAGTCATTTGATACATTTCTTTCAATTATAACTTTTAGTTTAAAGCACGTCCTCTCGACAAGAAAACTCACATGAAGAGGAAAGGAGACAAGCTGGTGATCAACATAGTCATTGTAGAGGGTCAGGTGAGTTATTGGAAATATTAGAATATATTTGGCCATGAAGCACTGGAGTCCTGGACTCAGATATCACAAGGGACTGTCTTTTGTGGATGTCTGCCTGAAGCTGCCTATACTGTATATACATATACATGTGTGTGTGTGTATATATATATATGTATATATATATATATATATATATTGTAACAAGGACACTCCACTGTAGACAGGAGGTGAAAGTAAAATGCAGTTTTAATAAAGGAGAACTATGAGGTGGGTGCTTTTCACTCACCTCAATTAGGGTAACGGGAGGACGCTAGTTTGTGTCCTCCCGTTACCCTAAGGAGAACTATGGGGAAAAGCCCTGACCCCATAGTTCTCCTTTAAGGGCAAACACCAATTAGAGTGTATTAGAGTGCAGCCTGCGTTGGACTCAGTGACTGCAGCGAAAGTGCCTTTGCTATATAACCAAGTAACATAAAGATATGACTGTGGTGGAATAAATGAGAGCGAATCCTCCTTTGGGCTCAGGAAGTGAACGATTCTGCATTCTCTGTGCTGCTGAGTATGTCAATTTTTATGAATACATAAGACAATTAAACGTATCTCTCCTAATAAGAAGTGTGATTCATGCCTAGTATCTAAATTGCTGTCATCTCGTTGCAGCAAAGGCAGCAAGAAACATCATCACATGACCTGAGCTCACTGAGCGGGTTTATTTCTGAGGCATCAAACTTGCTAATTATGCGGCTTCTGGCGAGAACGAAGAATACACAGCGGTTGGATTTCCTGGCCTTCGATGCAGAGATGAACTTGTGTATTTCATCCTATGTGAGTATGTAATGGGGTGACAGATGTATAGATGTTACACGACCACAGAGACATAAAAAAAGAAGTGTTTAATCTACTAAAGATGAATGACTCATAGACCCGATAGCTGGCAAATGAAGCTCCTAGTGGCTCAGGGACTACACAAGGCTGAGGGTTCTCCCTGCCCATCTGACAGTGCCCAGCCAATTGCCAGGCATCACATCTGTCACATAAGTCACATGATCCTTCATACCCGGAGGAATTGGGTATTTTCTTTGCTCCTGATGGCAGGAAGCAAGGGAAAGGTGACTATGTACTGCTAGGGATGGGGATAATCTGAACCTGTTGCATGCACAGAAAGCACAGGTTTGCTTTAATGTTGAGCTCCAGGATTTTGTTTTCTTCTATTTTCGGTTCCTCTCCCTCTTCTTTTACCTACCCACGCCATACTCCAGTGATGTGCCCGACTTCCTCTTCTTGGTCCTTTTTGTGTAGACCAACGCTGATTCTGCCCATTTCCTGTGAGCCCAGCCCATCTTTCACACACCCCCTAGGGGGCACATTATGTGAGCTTAGCCTATCCTTCACACACCCCCTAAGGGGCGCATTATGTGAGCTTAGCCCATCCTTCACACACCCCCTAGGGGGCGCATTATGTGAGCTTAGCCTATCCTTCACACACCCCCTAGGGGGCGCATCATGTAAGCCCAGCCTGTCCTTCACACACCCCCTAGGGGGCGCATCATGTAAGCCCAGCCTGTCCTTCACACACCCCCTAGGGGGCATGTCATTGCGCAGGCTCACAGTACTAAAGGCGCTCACACATAATTAAGTCCTGGGAGAATCCCTGCCATCCCAGTGCCATTGCCACCGCAAAAGAGCGAAGAACTTGCAGCGATGTCACTAGACCAACAAGAAGAGGAAAGAAATAAGGTATGTATGGGAATTAAAAAATACTGAAGGGCTGTTTAGGGACATACCCTGGAGCTCCGCTTTAATGCTGACTTCAGGAAGACATCACATGTTTGCCTTAAGAACCTATAACGAAATATTTAAGGTCTCATCTCGGAACTTGACCAAAACTTGATATTCTTGCCTTGCTCATCTTATTTTTTTCTGTATGTTGCAGAGTGAGCTCGGATCCCGTCCCCAGGTTATCGGGAAAGACACAGTGGAGGTTTACGGCATAGAGAGAACGATTTATTCTGAGGATATACCTAACACTTGGCAGTACTACTTCCTATCAGACGGGTGAGTGTAAAGGCAGTTCTGTAAAAAATAAGCCAAGGAAACTGGACTTGCTGTATTTTTCTTGAAGACGTTTCACTGGTCATCTGACCAGCTTTCTCAATTCAGAATTGTAAAGGCAGTGCTGTGCTTCGTACTGAAGTGTTTTTATCTTTTCTGATCCAACTATGACTAGACCGGTTTATTCGGTCTCCTTGTTCCCCAAGCCCTACTTCATAGAACTCATTGATTCCATACTGTGCACGAAAGGCTACCATGAAGGCTAGCAAGCCAGAGCTATGATGACATAAGGATCTGTCATAGCAACAGATGGATCTTCTCTCTTACCATTTTGATGGATGGAGTGGCACCGTCACCATGAACTCGCTACCCTGGTGACAAAAGGATCTGCCCTCATTTAACAGTGATTGCTATGCACTGTTGCCATGGCAATGCAGATATTAAACCCCTTGCCATGGCAAAGTAAGGATTCCTCACAATGCCTGCTGCCATAGCGATGGAGAAATCTATCCCCTTTACATGATGATTGATATGAATCCACACTACACTGTAGAAATTAGACTAAGTGGAAGGTCCTGCCATGAGCCACTCGGGGTTCTACTACATTGCATAATGCTACCAGTCCAGTATGTTTAAGGCACTGAGAGCCAGAGAAGAAGGATTCAGGCAGTTTCTAAAACTGAGAATAAGACCTAAGAATAGTGATAATTCTAATTCATTGAGCAGGTAGATGACAAGGGAGGATGGAAAGCTGCAGTACTGAATAGTGGCGTCATCCCGCCAAAATAGACATTCTTAAAGGAGAACTATGAGGTGAGTGCTTTTCACTCCCCTCATAGTTCTAGCCGACCTGTGACAATGAGACTGTCACAGGTCGGCTCAGTAGATCGGGAGGTGAGCGAACACATACCGGCGTTCGCTCACCTCTCGATCCTGTCACGGCTCTCTGCCATGACAGGGGAGGGGCTGGATTCCCCTCTCCCCGCTCCGATCCACCAGCGCTGACTGGCGGAACGGACGGGGGAGGGGGCGGGTACAGCTGGCTCGGCCTCTAGATAGGCAGAGCCAGCTGTCAGTTGCAGCTGGGTGGATCCCGGCACAATTGTCAGGATCCGCTTCAGCTGCGGCGTCTCAGTATACCGCGAGCTATAGTCGCGGTATACTGAGCCTAGGGTGACGGGAGGACGCTAGTTTCTGTCCTCCCGTTACCCTAAGGAGAACTATGGGGAAAAGCCTTAGTTCTCCTTTAATGCTGCCCCCCTGCCCCTTACCTTAACCTAAGCTTTAAATGTATTCCCATAAGACCAAATATACTTTAATGGACAAATTAACGAATTCTATCAAACCTCCTGGCCATCTGCCCCCTAAACTAAACTCATCTGAACATTCCCGCCATGTGTTACTGATCTGTGACAGCCAGTTTTAACTATCTAGTATCCTTGTGCCCAGCCTGCGAAACTAAGGTCACATAGGGGGTCCCTTGGTACTTGTTTTGTGGACACCAGCAGTCTAGGCATTCATTTGTAAAGGGGTAATAGCAGTGTGTCAGATAACCTTATATTGAAAAGCAGAAATCATCAACACTCAATAAATATCGTTGATGTCCATTTAATCGGACCAATCGTCACAGACAAAACCAACGTTTCGGGGGCCGCACAGGGTTCCTTCATCAGGGCGACAATATGGACATCAACGATATTTATTGAGTGCTGGTGATTTCTGCTTTTCATTGTTGATTTGCACGGCACCAAGCGTGATTGTCACTGCGATCACCACTATTACTGCTTGGGCCGGGAACGCTGTGAGGAGTCCAGAGGGACTCACCATCTCCTAAGATAACCTTATATAACATGTCCTCGGTCTCTCACTTTCTTCTGCAGCATGTCTTCAGTCTCCAACCAGACTGGTAATCACTGATCTAGCAGATGCTTTATGCGCTGGCTGTCTTGGTGCCCCAATGTAACAGCCACTCCAGAGTTCCACACCGTACAGTACGGTACAAGTAGATTTAGCAAATCTTCAATGAATGCTTGAGGACAAATCTCAGGGTTATGAGCTGCACATCCCTATGGCAATGATCCAACCAACCAATCCATCTACAGTAATACCTTGGTTTACGAGCATAATTCGTTCTGGAAGCATGCTTGTAATCCAAAGCGCTTGTATATCAAAGCGAATTTCCCCCCACAGGAAATAATGGAAATTCAGATGATTCGTTCCACAACCCAAAAATATTCATATAAAATGATTACAATACTGTAATATAATAACGTATAAAATATAAAGAAAAATAAACCAATTACCGGTACCTTTTGTGGCCGGTGTGAGAGGGACAAGAGAGAGGAGGATTATTGTGTAGGACGACTTTCACTATCACTAACGGAATCACTGCTATCTCTTGACTCAATGGAATCTTTTTCATTTCGTGAAACCTTAACAAGGAATCTATCCAATGTGACATTGCATTGTCGTTAAACAGACTCATCGCTCGCACTGCTACAGCCTTATTTATTTTCTTCCCATTTTTTTCTAGGCATTTGGCTAGTCGGGTCCAGGTCGGCTCTCCTGTTATTGTTAAACTCATGGAAATGCCCATATTATCTGAGCCAGGTAGGAGCGATATGTCCATCTATCTAGGCATTTGCTAAACATCCATGAACAACTTGAAGAAGCAAAAGTATACAAATCATATTCAGTCTGTGCTGCATTTATCATTCACCTTCTCTGTGCAGTTATCACATTTGTATGAAGTGTTAAATGGAGAGTTCTGGCTCTGACTCGGCAGGTGGAGTGTTGGCCTCTGCAGAGAGACCACTGCTTCCACACAGAGAGCAAGGGTCCTTTACTGCAGCATGCTGGCAGGGAACAGGCTTTTCTGCTCTTCTACTACTTTCTAAAGAAAACAAACTGTAGTACTTTGCCCACCTTTTGTCTTGATGCAACTGATTCAAGCAACGAATGTAAGGGCTTGTTCACACCAGCCCCAGTGCGTTCCGGAACGCACTGGGGCTGGTGTGAACCAGTGCTAATTGGATTTTAAAGCTTCCCTGTCATTATGTTAGGAACTTTGAAAGTGAGAAAGTCTGAAAGGCTGGCTTCAGACCTCTGCCTTGCAGTAACGTAGAGAAATGTGCGCTTTAAATAGCTTTCTGCAATGCACATGGAGGGAAATGTATCAAATCTGGAGCAGGTTTGCACTGCAACCAATCAGCTTCTCTGTCTTATTTTCAAATCTTACCTGAGCAAACTGAAGAAAAATGTTGATTGGTTGCCATGGGCAACTGCTCCAGATTTTGTCTGCTCCAGTTGTGATAAATTCCGCTCATGGTGCTGCATGCAAATGCATATCATAGTGCACTGCATTCAAAAACTGATTCAGGTCCGTTTTTGGTCCATAGGCAGCAGCTAGCCCAAAATGAATGAGCTGCCTTTACAACACCCAGTTGCCCCCAGCTTCCTCCTTGGTCCAGCACCGGCAGTCCTTTTCAGGCAGAACGACAGTCATACCATCCTGCCCGTCTCTTGTGAGCACAGCCTGCCATTTAGGGAGTGGTTGTAGAAACCAGAGGTCACAATTGGAGTCCAGGGATCCAATTAATATTCTTTGGGTGGCTTTGCTCTGAGTGACGACTCCATGAACGGGTGTTGGGCAATATACAACAGACTCGCTTTAATTACAGTGGTGATTTGAATATTCTTCTGAAACCATTATTTCACAAATCTGTTCACAGAGGAAAAAGATCCTAAACCAGTGTTTGAGAAGAAGCCATTGGATTGGCAGGATGATGTACAACTCCATTCTGAGTTCCTGGACAGAAAGGTGAGTGTTAGGGGGCATATTTCCGGAATTTAGTCCAAGGTCAGACAAACACCTTTTGCATTGTATGTTTAATTCATCAAAGCTGTACTCCAGGAAAATAGCTAAACACTCTGGTAACCAGACTGGTAATCACTGATCTAGCAGATGCTTTATGCGCTGGCTGTCTTGGTGCCCCAATGTAACAGCCGGATTTACTCTCCCTGCCGCCCCAAGGCCAGGTTCCGCAATACGCCTGCTAGCCACACCCCCTTTCTCCCCAACCAGATGGCAGGGCGGCGGAGTTAGTTCCATTTTTTTTTTTTACTGTTTATTTTTTTAACTTTATCACTTTTTATTTTATTATTTCTTCTTATTTTTATTTAATATTTTTTTAAATTTTTACTTATTTAATCATTTTTTTATCAATTTAATTTTTTTTAGATTTTTATTTGTCTTATTTACCTTTTTATAATGTTTTATCTTATTATTGTTTATTTTTTATAATTTGTTTCCTGCTTTTTAATCACCTTTTTATTTATTTCATTTTATTTTTATTTAACCTAACTTTATTGCTATCACACAGGAGAAAACAATCCCCTGTGTGATAGCAATTGGAAGTGACAGGTTCTCTTTATTGACCCTGTCACCTCCAATACAGGAGTTCTAGCACAGCACTGTACTGGAACTCCTATGACAGGTGAGAGAGGAAGAGCACAGCACAGCTCTCCCCTCTCACTGTGTACATAGAGCGGCAGGGTTAGTTTTAACCCTGCCGCTCACTGCAGTGAGGAGAGACTCTGCGGCGGAGCCCGGAGGACAGAACCAGAGGAGAGAGGTAAGTGCAGGGGGGGAGGCTGCAGACTTTTTACATGTGATCTCGGCGACATCGCCGAGATCACATGTAAACGAACAATCGGCTGCCTCACTCTATATTTAGTCCTGCTTGTGCAATGCAGGACTAAATGTAGAGAGGGCAACATACCGTGCGGAACTTCCTCACAAGGACATCGCTGCCGCCCTGAGGCTGGGCCTCTGTGGCCTTGTGGGGAATCCGGGCCTGCCTATATGTCGCTTCCAAGGCTCTCCCTCCAAATATCGTGCATCTGAGATAGATCGTCATGTTCTCTTTCTCTCTCTGAATTGCAGGAAGAACTGATCTCAGACCATGAAACGTACCTCACCCGGCACCCAGAAATGAAAGTTCTCCTGAGCGATTTCATGCAGTTCCTTCTCCTTAGAAAGCCAGACGACGTCTTTACTTTTGCTGCTGAGTTTTTCGCTCCTTTCTCTTCAGCCGCAGAAAGAGGCGACACTTTCCGATCATCCAAAGTGTCCAACCCTTTTTATAATGACACTAATGAGACCCAATAAGCTATAATCTTCATTCAAATTCTTGGCTTTTGTATAATAATCTCTTCCCAGCATGCAAGTGTACACACAGCCGGGGCAAAAGTTTGAGGATTAACGCTGTAGAATGCTTCAAATGATGGCACCAAATGTTGATGACTGGTTAGGCTCAAAGTGGGGTACAAGCCCCCAAAATAAATATGCATATGGTTTATAAGATAACATGTATGCTGTGCAATCATCGCATGCACGCCTTCACTATGGAGTGCCGACCTCCTCTAGACCTCTACTCTCCATTTCACAAAACTTCTCCTTTCTCTCAACCCTTGAACATTAAAGCAGCATGGCCACCATATGGATCACTGCATCTCCTTCTGTGTATTGCTAGATTACAAGAAAACAGAGGGGAATGTATATGGTGAAGCTATGTTCTATTAAATAAACAAATCCCTGCACGGATCAACCCTCTAATACAGTGGTTCTCCGGCTGTGTAACCTCCAGACCCACATTTGTCCTTGATCATTAAGTCGTGACCCAAGTCGCACTGCAAGGGTACCACGCATGCTGGTGCGGGTGATTAACCTGTGGGCGGGAGGTGCATTTAGGGTGCCAATCCAATGAACAGCAACGCAATGCACCTCCCAACACCAGAATGCGATTGCATAGTACAGTGTGATAATCGCACGGGACAGTTCTGTTAACGCACTGTACTTGTGTGAACGGGCCCTCAAAAAGACCGGAGGACTCCTGAAAATTGCAGATTTCATGTGTCGCAATCACCTGCTCAGTTGCTTCATCAATTTCAATCGATGGCAAACGCCATCTTAGTCAGATGTTCTATAGCAGGGGTGGGCAACTGCAGCCGTCTGTTGTGCACAGATGGAGGGCCAGAGTTGCCCACCCCCGCTCTATAGAGATTATTGTACCACATTGATCACAGCACCTCTAGCAGGGTATGTTTCTCTTCTGCACCATATTATTCATAATCCAATAGAATTATCCATGCGTGCTCAGATCGCCACTGCATTGGTCATAGAGCAGTCTTTCCCAACAATGCTTAGTGTGTACATCAGCGGTACTTCCCCCAAACTTGAGCCTCATGATCCAGGTTATGACAGCTCACCGCAGAAAGCTCTCCAGGGAAATGTTCACCACTGTACTGGCAGTAGGGGAACTTCAGCAATGTGACCAGAGCCGCCACACCGCACATTCCAATGCGCTGACCCCCCCCCAGAGTATGTATGCGGTGCAATCACAACATGCATGCCTTCTCTATGGAGTGCTGACTTCTACTCCCATTTCACAGAACTTCTCCTTTCTCACATAACCCCCTTGAACAGTCAGCAGCATGACCATCACATGGATTGCTGCATCTCCTTCTGCGTAATGCTAAAGAGCAAGTAACCTCAGCTGAGTCATGAAATATTCCCGGCACCAACACATGTCCGTACATCTCTGCTTGGTGTCTTCACTGACGTCGGGGAATAGCAGAAAGTGTGATTGTTTTGTCCCCTCCACAATAGTATACATTTAATAGGGAACTACATTGCTACAGCATTACGCAGAGTTAGAGCTGGCAGTGTACCCAGACCACACAAATGTTATTCAGCAAGTTCAGAAGCTCTAGACCAGGGGTAGCAAACCTCCAGCTGTGATGACACTACAAATCCCATGATGCTTCTCTTCAGGAGTCATGTCTGAGAATCTTGCAATGCCTCGTGCGATTAGTAGTTCCACCACAGCTGGAGGGCCGGAGGTTTGCTACCCCTGATCTAGACCCTATTATGAAGACAACTGAAGCAACAAGTCCCTTTTCTAATTTTTTTTTTACAGGTATGGGTTGAGAGGAATATCTGGTTAAGTGTGAGGGAGAGAACAAGGAGGAGAAACACTTGTAGGTCAAGTACAGAAACAAAGAGGGAAGTGCAGGCCAATTACCTCTTTACAAAAAAAGGGATTAAAGTTACATCTATTCCATCAGAGAAAAGGGGCGGTGGTCTATTTTTGGGACTTGCTGATTATAATCCAGGGATGCCGGGTGTTACAAGAGTCCACATGTAACCGATCGGCACCCCATACACACGATCCCCCGGCTCTACAGCCGGTGGATCGCTTGTATGGTAACAGGCATCGCTGCCTGTTTTTAAATTTCGGCCGTTTCCCACTCGCGTGTCTGAGCAGACGTCTAAAGACGCCCGCTCAGATATGGAAAGCTCCGGGCCGGCCGTTTTATTTACTACTGCCGGCTCGAAAGTGGTTAAAAAAAATTTACTGGGCAAGAGAAATCCGCCATTGCTGGCCTACTGAAAATTGTTAGCGTTTGGTTGTCTGGCAGACCCAATATAGTTTAAATACTTGCAACAGACCCAGAGCAGATATGAGAGATCAGGAGGGCACGTGTAGGGGTCATAATATAAATTAACTTGGCAAATGTGAAGTCATTGTACAGTTAAGAACCAGGATCCATATTCTATTTCATGAGTAACACCCAGCTTTATTTAATTAAGTGATCTTATTTAGTCTAATGACATGAAATACATGATCGATCTTGCACAGGAAGTCTGTATAAATAGCTTCTACAGTCAATACAACATATTAAAGATATTCAGTTAAAGAAAGGGGTGGGGCATACAATGATAATCCTCAATAGTATAGAAGGTCCCGCCCTCTACAGTAGTCCTGTCCAGCATTCTTCTTCTGCCTGGAAAATACAAAACAAAAAAGTACTTCAGTTACTCAGAACTTTAGACATAAGAGGTTTGTTAGGATTAAACATGGCCAGTGGAGTTATTACGCTGAGGTCAGTTAAAGTTTCGCTTCAGGGGTTTTTGTCATCATGCCACCCACCAAGAGAGTGAACTGCTTGGGGTGGCACTGTAATTCGGCCTTTTATGTCATCATTCCTCAGCAACAAACTCAAAACAGAAATAACCCACCAAACACCTCTATTGCCAGTACAAACCTGGTTCTGAAGTGCTCATGTTCCTGTCCAACGTTAAGACCGCATGGCGTGTTTCCTGTTGCACCAGCAACCATGTGACTGCAACCTATGGAACCAGTAAAGAAAAGACAAGTTAAACCTACTACAGTTCATTATACATTGGCCATACAAGTCGCTTGCCATTGTATTACATTATCTCATGAGTGTATGAAGAGTGTTTCATGCTCTGGGAAAGGATAAAAAAAAAAAAAACCACACAGCAAACAACTTACAAGAAAGGAATAGATTGCCGGTCCATTTACATGTTCTTTATACACAGCAGACCTCCCAGTTAATGGAAGGGGGGGCCACACGATAATCCTCAATAGTACAGAAGGTCCCGCCTCTACAGTAGTCCTGTCCAGCATTCTTCTCCTGCCTGGAAAATACAAAACAAAAAAGTACTTCAGTTACTCAGAACTTTAGACATAAGAGGTTTGTTAGGATTAAACATGGCCAGTGGAGTTATTACGCTGAGGTCAGTTAAAGTTTCGCTTCAGGGGTTTTTGTCATCATGCCACCCACCAAGAGAGTGAACTGCTTGGGGTGGCACTGTAATTCGGCCTTTTATGTCATCATTCCTCAAACAGAAAACCCACCACACACCTCTATTGCCAGTACAAACCTGGTTCTGGAAGTGCTCCAGCTCCTGTCCAACCTTAAGACCGCATGGCTCATTTCCGGTTGCACCAGAAACAGGGTGACTGCTCCTTATGTAACCTGTAAAGAAATTACAAGTTAAACCTACTACAGTTCATTATACATTGGCGCTTGACATTTTATTACGTTATCCCATGAGAGCATCCAGTAACAAGGAAGCAAGGTATGAAAATGAAGAGCGTTTCATTCTCTATGGTAAAGGATCTCACTTAAACCCCGCCCCCCAACAACTTACAAGAAAGGAATAGATCGCCAGTCCAGCTCGGTCCATTTACGTGTTCTTTATACACAGCAGACCTCCCAGACTGGGTCAGAGGGATTCTTTGACACTACATGGTGGTCGTATTCATGAAGACCGCTGCTAGTTCTGTAGACCGTTTTGCAGTACATCAGCTTTGGACCAAGGCATGTGAGGTGTCCTCCTGGGCTGAGGAGTCATGATGGCTGAAGATATCAACCTGGGAATCGCTGAAGGAGAGGAATAGGAGATTAGTTCTGCTTTATAGGGACACTAAACTCAGGAGTTATATCTAAAATACATTCCGGTACCTGACCTATGAACAACAATTTGCGTATCACTCGGCTGTAGATCCTCCAATCATCTCTGAATGGGTGCTGACACTGTCCGTGTGTGCGTCCGTCCAGGCTTACTTTAGCTACCCATGGTCCCCGTGTGTGTTGTAAAGTAGTCACCCCTCCAAGTTCGCTCCTGGGATGGACTAGAACTTAGTACAAATTGGCTGACTAAACATGATTGTTCTCCATCCCAGGAGTGAGCTTGGAGCGCTGGCTACTTAACACCCACAGGGACAATGGGGAAGAAAAGTAGCCCCTCTCCAGAAGGAAGGACAGTGTCAGCACCAATTCAGAGATGATTGGAGGATCTACAGCCGAGTGATACATTCAATTAATTTAACTATTAATGTATTTGAGATGTAACTCCTGAGTTTAGTGTCACTTTCACAATATGGATCTAGAGACATCACAGTGAAGGAGGGGGGTTTGGAGGATCACAGGACTGCTGAGGTCAGATAGGATTTCGCTTCCAGGATATTTGTCATGGTGTCTCACTGTAGAGAGAAAACTGCTCAGGAGACACTGCAATTCGGCCTTTTAGGTCATCATTCCTCAGCAGACAAAACACACCGCTTTTGTCTTTAGATCTTCGAGTGCGTGTGTATACACACACACCGGAATCCAGATTGTCTAACAGGACACGTTCAGATCCTCCACTACCCCTCCTTCCACCGGGCTGATGTACGGAATTGTCCCCACACAGCCCTCCTCCCGCCCCGAGATCACTTACCACGCCGCTCTCCTGCTCGCCGCCATCTTCCTCCAAGCATGCTCGTCATGTGATCAGCGGCCTGCTCCACCCCCCCT